AAAAAAAGAAAAGAAAAGAAAAGAAAATAGAAAATAGAAAAAGAAAAAGAAAAAAAGAAAACAACAAACGAGTAACAACAAAGAAAAACAATTCAATTATATTTAATTGCAGTCCAAACAGCTTAGTTACTGCGTTTGGGTTATCGTTATTGTTGTGCGAGTTGTAGTTGACCTGAAAAAGTTCGACGACGTTTGACCTGATTAGGTCAAACGCCGAACTTCAGAACGATAAGCTGAACCATATCACATCGAAGACGACCGCCTTTTATATCCATTGTTTCAATTAGGCTCGACTCCTGTGAACTTCGACATTTGACCTGAGCCTTAGTAACGGTGTTTTGGTTTTTGTAATTGTCGTGCGAGTTATAGTCAAACTCATATAAAATAACTAATAAAAAATAATATTGCTTTTAAATTTTAAATTGCCAGCTTTGCAGATAAAAATGACGTGAAAATGATGACATTTGACAGCGAAAATGAACTRCACAAAATCAAGGAAGCATGCCCTGATGCCAAGTAAGATAATTTGATAAATTACAACTTACAGTCACCTAAAGATATTTGAATCTCTCCATTTCACGGTCCCTTGGGAGAAGGCTATGCTGGATGTCAAACAACCTCCCGTCTGCTCACACGAGTTGTACAGCGAAAGGTCAAGGTAGCATTGCTAATTGATGAATACACGCGTTTAAAAAATGTTTTTAGTTTGGGGCTTAAAARTTGTTTTGACTTTCAGGCTTCTTCTGCGGTTACGTCCTAAAGAATCAAAGGCCTTGCATGGTTTCGTGAGTATTGTGTATTTTTAATTCGATAAGYTCCTTATGTTTTCTGACATATTTTGTCCATCCTATTCAGAGCTGCGCGAAATTCGGATGTACTTTGTCAAACTGTGCACATCTCCTGTCAGTTGCAAAGAGCCTTAGTCTGGAAGTGGTTGGTGTCAGGTAACATTCTAGAAGGTTTAGAGCTATTTTAAAATAACATCGCATAAAGAGAGCCAGAT